TGTGTGTGTGTGTGTGTGTGTGTGTGTGTGTGTGTGTGTGTGTGTGTGCATTAAACCAACATACATCGCAGTAACGTAACATATTTCATGTCAAATACATGTATAACAGTTGTACTCTTGTTTAATCAAATGAATACAGAACATTTTATGCAAACAAAAAAATAAAACACTTTAGTGAGTTGAAGTGAAACACCATAAGATGCCTTGAGTACAGACTCCTGTGTGGTTGTGGTTGTGGTAAAAACTTGCTGTTGTTTGTGACTTTAGTAAACCTCTCATATTTAGCTTTGTGCAGCGTGTTGTAGTGSTGACTTTATGGCAGATTAAACTCAAAGCTTTGCCTGATTCTGTGAGCAGAGAGTCTACCTCCCAAATCAGTAAGAAAAACTAAGCTGATGATGATAATGTTTCTGCCAGTGAATGGGCATGGGTTTGTCTGTTAGCAAAATATTTTTCCAACTACTGGAGGGATTTTATGGAAACTCCCAGAACCTACRGTAATAACTGGATGTCCTCGTTTCAGCTCTTTGTTAAAACGGCAGAGTTAAAGACACTTGTGTGTTTGCTAAGGTGGCGAGTTTGAATCAAGTTGATTCAAAAGTTCATCTGTTCTAGCTGTGTCATCAAAGTCAATGCAGTGGTTGGTGGGATATTTTGCTAACAGTTAAACACACAGAAGTCATTGTAAGATTAGGTTTTCCTGCAGAGGCGATGGTTTTGATTTGGGGAGTTGGCTCTGGAACAATGCTGCCATTTTTTCCTTTTCTTGCTCCTTTCTTAACTAGTTTTTCTTGAAAGTTTGCACTGAAAGCAGCTCAGCAGGTCCTGATTGTGATGCTGGTGTTTTGTTTTTTCCTCCACCCAGCTGCCCTACCTGCTGCTGAACTGTGCAGGAACAGACCCCAAGACTCGAATGCACCCAGTGTTCTTTGGAGAGAGCATCGAAGTGAACCCCAAACCAGAGCAGGAAATCAGGTAAAAGACCCCGAACATTAAAAATAACCCTGTGATTTATGAAGTGATGTTCTCTTAGATGGTTATTAATAGTTAGAGGAATAATAATAAACATTAATATGTTCTACACAGACCAGGTCCTTTGAAGGATGCAGCCTAACCCTAACCCTAACCCCAGGCCTTTTCTCCGCACCATCTGGTTCTGATGAGTTTCTAAATAAAACTTCCTTCTTCTTCATCCCAGGTGCTCCTCTGAGGTGAAGTACGACTCTGACAAGCACTACAAGAACCAGGTGCTGTGCGCCCCCGTCCCCACGCCCACCTCCTTCAGCGAGACGGTGGTGGTGGTGCAGAACTGCACCTGGAGGAGCTACAAGACGCAGGTGTACCTGGAGCCCCGGCAGAAGCCCCTCAGGTACCAGAGCACCACCATCATCTACCCCAAACACGCCAGGAACACTTACCGCACCACGCTCAACTACAACGCCACGGGCTCCCGCCGCTGGTTCGTCTCCACGGTGCAGCTGGAGTCCAGCGAGGACACGAGCCCCTGCATCATCTACACCGAGGACCTGTAGAGGCCGGAGCAGGGCCACATCCTGAGCAGCAGAGGGCCTTCTCTTTTACTTTAACATAAAAACAAAACTTTTTTTTAGAGGATGGAGGACTTTGAAATGTCCAAAAAATAATAATAAACTGGATCCATTTAAAACTGATGGTGAGGAGTTTAATGTCTTATTTAACAGAAGAACTGACAGATCCGGATCCTCAGAGAATTCTGTCAGAGACGACTCATGTCGTGTTTCAGCTGAAGCCAAGCTATCTGAACATATTGCACTTGTTTTTTTTTTTTGTTTTGTTTTTTTAATTTCACACATCACAGCTCTCTCGGTGGATTTGACTCTGCAGTGGAGAATCTCTGCACTGCCTCCGAAAAATGGACCAAAAAACATCATTTGAACTGTTTCTTTCCTTCTCATAACTCCACGCCCCACAGAAGGTGGTCCTGACAATAATGAAATAAAATAAAACAATGACACTCTTCTAACCACATTGGAAACAGTTAACTTGGAATATATTCATTTAATGAGCAGGCTCCTTTCTTTCTGAGTGCAGCTGGAAGGTTGTGCTGCAAAACACAAGAGATTAACGGACAGGTTTTTATTTATTAAGTAAAACAAAAATGTCTGTCAGGACTGTGTGGGTCTGGGACTGGGGTCTGCAACCTGTGGCTCTTTGGAGCGTTGACCAAAACTAACATGGAAACAAATATTTATTCATAACCACTTAGAAAAAAATATTTTTTCCCCCACCTTTAGACAAATATGTGAATAAAAGTCCATGTTAGATTAATGTTGCAAATACATGTTAAATAAACATTTTAACACTTTTAAGACCAATTATTATGGAGGAAAAAAACAGAAAAGGTTTTTTAATGAGAAAAAAGGTTTACAGTTGATAAAAGTTTATAT